TTAATGACATATTCAATGATATATTTTTCTTCACTTTTCATTCCTATATAAAGGCCTTATAATAGATAGGAAAATACACACAATTGAAGAAGAAAATCTCTTATTTCTCTCTATCTCCATTTCTTGTTCATGTTTTACTAAATTGCTTTTATTTCATAACAACATTTTTTATTCATGTTTTACTAAATTACTTTTATTTTATAACAGATTATTCATACTTTGTGAACAGAAAGTTAACAAAAATAATAACAACGACATTTATATGTATGGATCTTTTGAAAATTTTATTTGGGAGATATCAATAAAAAGAACTTAACATAAAAAAACTACTACTAGATAACAACAATATCAACAAATATGTATGGATTTTAAATAAAATGTAATTAGAAGTTCTTCTGTGTGGATCTTTATTGATCATATTTTTTTATTTAAACTTATGTCAGGCTAATATTATAAAAATTAAAAATATTTTTTTAAAAGTTCTTTATCCTTTCTTCTGGCATATAAATCTCTAATGTAATTAACAGAATGTTATAACAAAATATTCTAAAATGATATGTTCATTTATTCCACAATATTAACAAAATGAGATTATTAACCAAAATCATTTATTCAAAATTGTACCCACATCCCCTTAAATTCCAAATGAGATTATAAATAAAAAATTTAGGTCAAAACTGCCTCAAATTTTGAGTGGGGAAGCAAAATGGATAATACAAACCAAAATTGGACCCCAAAACAAAAACATAAAAAGAAAGACTTCTACTTCCTCAAGTAAATAATTCATTCATTTTAGTCCCCACAAAATTACAAAAAATGCTTTCCCACATTTCAGCTTCACTCTCTCACACCTCTTCCACCACCACCGCTTCCTTCCTCCTCCGCCGCGGCCCATCTCTTCGACCCAAATTCCCTTTTTGCCCTTACAAACCCTCCAAATTTCAAAAACAACACCGTTTTGTGTTTTCTTCAATGGACTCAGCTGCCACTGTTGATTCAGTTGCTAATGATTTAAAGAAACAAAGCTTAAAAGGAACTGAAAATGTTGATATTAGTAGTAAATTGAATATTGAAGAGCTTAATTGGGATAATTCTTTCGTTCGTGAATTGCCTGGTGATCCCAGAAGTGATAGTATTCCAAGAGAGGTTTGTTTTAATTTCTCAAATATTTTTGTATTTTTATTGAATTTTTATCAATTTGAACCTAAAAGGTCCTTTTTTTATCAGGCAGGTATTACTCTTTTATACTCCGTCCGCCCCAATTTATGTGGTGGTGAGTTAAAACAAGCTATAGACATTTGTGTAAAATGAGAATTTTAAAATTAAATTATTTCTAAATATAGAAAGATGATATTGTTTTTGGGATAGACTAACAAAGGAAGTATATTAGTTATAGTGGAAGAATATATTAAAATAATGGTTGAAAATTTAGTTTGATACAGAAGATGTGATAGGAAAGCTCATTTGAATGATTATGCATATTCAAAATTGAATTTTTGTTTGAATGCTTAATAAATTAGTTGGAATTTCTGGAATTACTCTCTTAGTCCCATTTTGTGTGCCTGTGCTTGCAGAACACGGTGGTTAAGTTGTTAAATTTGAGTTTTTTGTATTAGTGGTAGCGAAAGAAAATATTAAGGTAATGATTGAAAAGTCAGTTTGATAAATCACCTCAACAATTCAAATTTGAATAGCTTAAGGAAGTTGAATTCTTGAATGTTGTGAAAGCTGTGTGAGAATTGTGTAAAAAATCTTACGTCCAAATTAATAGCGTGGGTCATATAAATTGGAGCAAAGTAAGTATTATATTAGTGAGAGTGGAAGAAAATAATAATGTAATGGTTGAACTGCTAGTTTGATAGAGAAGGCTTCACGTTGAAGTTTAAAACGTGATATGTATAAATGTATAGTGAATTTGAATTACTTAAGTTGTGGGTGTGTAGAAATGGAATTATGACAAATATTCTAGATGCTTCAACGTGGAAAGAATGTTATATAAATCGGGATGGAGGGAGTACTATTTTATCATAAGTAGATAACAAGTTAGGTTTATAATAGATACTCGTGCTGGTTTATCATAGAATTCATAGATAGCAAAAAGTGGAAAGTAGATATTACCTATGTGATAAACGATGCAGTTTGCCTTTAATTTGAAATATCAGTAACTGCAAGATAGAATCCTTTTGTAGGTCATTTATCTGTGTCAAACATTGCGCTTGTAGGTGTTGCATGCTTGCTACACAAAAGTGTTACCCTCTGTAAAGGTTGATAACCCTCAGCTTGTAGCATGGTCAGAATCAGTGGCGGAGTTACTCGAATTGGATCCCAAAGAGTGAGTTTTCAAAAGCTTGCTGAATGTTATGGTCATGCTAATTGTGGGTTGATGAGATTGATACAGACTTACTTATCTTAATCTTTCAGATTTGAGAGGCCTGATTTTCCCTTTATATTCTCGGGGGCATCACCATTAGTGGGAGCGTAAGTTTCTCGAAGCTTGTCGGCTTTGTCTTTGAATTCTTAGTAATGAAACAACATCCGAAGTTGGGTTTGATTCTGCAGGATGCCTTATGCCCAAAATTATGGCGGACATCAGTTCGGCATGTGGGCCGGTCAGTTAGGGGATGGTAGGGCGATAACTCTTGGAGAGATTTTGAATTCGAAGTCTCAAAGGTGGGAGCTGCAACTGAAGGGTGCTGGAAAGACCCCATATAGTCGTTTTGCTGATGGTCTTGCAGTGCTTCGTAGCAGCATTCGGGAATTCCTTTGCAGCGAAGCAATGCATAGTCTTGGAATCCCAACAACACGAGCACTTTGTCTAGTGACGACAGGAAAAGATGTCCTGAGGGATATGTTTTACGAGTATGTTAAGATTCTTTCTGTTGTTTGATAAGCTGCATATCAGTAAGAAATCATCTAGCTAGCCTTGAAATGCATTTTGTGTTCTCTTAATCAACTAATGGCATAGAGCATGTCTATCATTGTTGCTTCAAAAGACAAATCTTCTTCCTTTTGGAAGAATGATACTGAGGAGTTTTATCGATAAGTTGATGAGAAGCGCTTATAGACTTGTCTCCGGGGAGGTTTTGGGTCTGCATAGGAATTCATGTCTTAGAATTATACTCCAGATAATTGTCGTTTCATCTATTGAATATTGTCTTCCTTCTCATGCAGCGGAAATCCCAAAGATGAGCCTGGTGCAATTGTCTGCAGAGTTGCCCAATCCTTCCTGCGTTTTGGTTCTTATCAGCTACATGCCTCCAGAGGTAAAAAGGATCTTGAGATTGTCCGTGCTTTGGCAGACTACGCCATTAGATATCACTTCCCCCATTTGGAGAACATGACTAGGAGTGGAAGTATATCATTCAACACTGGTGAGGAAGACAATTCAGCTGTGGATTTAACTACAAACAAGTATGCAGGTAAATATATAGGTTATCTTGAAGATAGTATGGGGGTGGATTCCCGTGTCTATGAAAAATTTAATCTCTGTTTATTGAGACTGAATATAGTTAGGTCAAGGAGAGTAATGGTGTGTTTTTGCTTTTGGTTTGATAAGGGCGGAAAAACTGTGGGGAGGGGGGTGGCTACTACTTTTCTCTACTGTCTTCTAAACAATCTGAATACCAAACACTTGTATAAAGATAGGTTACGAGGTCCATGCGTACTTTGACAATTTGCTTACTCACATGCATTGATGAATGGGTGCATTATTTCAGCATGGGCAGTGGAAGTCGCTGAGCGAACCGCTTCAATGATTGCCAGGTGGCAGGGTGTTGGTTTCACACATGGAGTGATGAACACTGATAACATGAGCGTGTTAGGACTCACCATCGACTATGGCCCTTTTGGATTTTTAGATGCTTTTGATCCCAGTTTCACACCAAATACCACTGATCTTCCTGGCAGAAGATACTGTTTTGCAAATCAGCCAGATGTGGGTTTATGGAATATTGCACAGTTTACCTCTGCTCTATCTACTGCGGAGTTGCTAAATGATAAGGAGGCTGATTATGCCATGGAAAGGTTGTACTTAAATTACTACAAGTTGGCCATTTTCTCTAGTGTTTTCGTTTTGTTATTTGCTCGATTTTTTCTCTTTTACTGTTGACGATGTTTATCTACTGACTTTTTTAGTTATGGCAACAAATTTATGGATGATTACCAAGCTATCATGACCAGAAAACTTGGTCTGGCAAAGTACAATAAAAAGTTGATTGGTGAACTACTCAAGAATATGGCCATTGATAAAGTTGATTATACAAATTTCTTTCGATTGCTATCAAACATCAAAGCTGATCCTACAATTCCAGAGGACCAGTTATTGATTCCTCTTAAAGCTGTTCTCTTGGATATTGGCGAGGAACGCAAGGAAGCCTGGGCAAGCTGGGTAAAGGCTTACATACAAGAGGTATGTGACGATGACATTTTTTCTTCAAATAATGATGAAGCATATAATGCATATAATACATATAATGAATTTGTCAAGGTTCTTTCTTGTATGTGTGAGATGATTAAGGTCTCACTTTTTCTACTTCTTGGCTTCTTGCAGCTCTCTACAACTGGTGTTTCCGACGAGGAGAGGAAGGTTTCGATGAATTCTGTAAATCCAAAGTACATACTTAGAAACTATTTATGCCAGACTGCTATTGATGTAGCAGAACAAGGCGATTTTGGGGAGGTTCGGCAGCTATTAAAGGTAATGCAATGCCCATTTGATGAACAACCGGGTATGGAGAAGTACACACGGTTGCCTCCAGCTTGGGCCTATCGTCCGGGTGTATGCATGCTTTCTTGTTCTTCATAAGATTTTTCCACTATGTAATAGTACAAGAGTTTTAACTTGTATATAACAGAAATTAGTTCTTCAATCTTGTAGTAATGTGCAAAAGGCATAGCTTGCGTCTATTCCACGTTCTTGTTTTTTGGTCATTAATGCGCAACAGTGTATTGTAAGTGGAGGAGTAGCGCTGCAGCCACAATACAAGGATATCCGGCTCTTTCTGCTCAAACATAGAAAAAAATTGTGTTTTTCTATACAAGTACTCTTCTTTGTTTAATCTCCTTTCGTGTAAGTGATCGATAAACCACCCTCTAAAGGTTTAACAACATAAACTATACATATCAGTAACTTCACAGAAAAAAGTTATAAATTATAGATTTTCTGTAAAAAAATAAATGTTTTTGTAATCATTATTAAAGAAAGACTTGTTTAACTCCTTTCAGAATGACAATAATTTTCAATCGGATCAACAATCCAAATTCAACATCTCGGAAAAAATTCAACCTCCATCGTTTATAAACTCCTCTCTACCACAAGAATGTGGAAATGCTACCACAAAATTTATTTGAACAAAAAACAAAGGGATAAACAACAACACCTGTTAGCTTGAAATATTTGGATAATCTTTTTTAAAAAAAAAAAAAAAAAAAAA